TATTGGTTTAAAGTGAAGTGTAGTCAATAGGTAAATGATACTTAAGATTGCATAGCCTACCCAGTCTGGTCCTGATGTCTGGAAATAGTTAGGATTGGGATTGGATGGGACAGACATATGTTGATCCCTGAAGCATAAACCCAAGGAGTTGCTACTTAGTTATTGTGCTTTCCACTCACTTAAAAAGGAAGCACTACCTGTGAGAAGTAGATTTATAAAATGGAGGTCATTCTGGACTCAGAGTAATTGCTGGATGGGCTGGTGGAAATATGGCCAAGAGGCTTTTGTATAGGTTCAGGGGCAGCCCTACGAGGTGTACAGGGATTTTGTACAATTACATGTTACCTCATTATTACTTGGCTAAACTGCTGCAAAGTGTTCTACTGGCCTGCTTTTGAAGGCCACTTGGCTGTGGTAATTGGTATGGAATATAGTGGCTTGCTTACTAATTAGCACTGTTATTGAGAACTATTACACCAATGCTATAGTATTGCTAGTAGATTTCCAAGCTCATTCCAAGTTCACCAAATTCAAAGTAATGCTTTGGTCTATAAAGCGCTACTATATTTACCTGGGCATGAACAACTCCCTTTTCCACTTCATCCATGCTACTATATATTCTATGAAAAACTTTTGCTGATTCCCAAAGTGAGGGGGACTGAAGCTAGGCAGTCAATTCTCTGTTGTGGTTTGGTACTGTGGGATAGTCTCCCCTCAAGTGAACTTGCCCCATTATTAACCACTTTCTAGAAATTGATAAAGGTGGAACTTTTCCAGAGAGTTGTAGTTTGATTGTATGTTTTTGTCATATAATGCTTTGTACTTACTTTCTTACTTGATTTATTTTATTTAACATTGATTATATTCTAAGCAGTCTAACTACGAAAACATTAAAAAAAAATAAAACAATAAAAATTGTAACACACAAATGGTTTCATTTATTATTACTTACTAGCATGGCCATTTTAATTTAATTTAATTGATTATTAATATTGACTACTGTAGACTTTTAATATGTCTTTTGTTATGTTGCTAACTGCCTGGAGCCATTGTGAAATACAGTGATGTACAAGAATGCTAAATAAATGTATACATTTCATTTTAAAAGAACTGTGAGGCATTAATTTAGCCTCTTTACTTCGTTAAAATCTACAATAAATAAGTAAAGGTGAATTCTATCAAGAAAGAAAGACTCACTCCAGGAGACTGATCCCTTGCAAACATTGGCCAAGTTTTCCAATTCATTTCATGCTGGAATTGTTTATGTTCTGTTTCCCCAAACCCATATACAAACTGTGAAGGTAGGCGAGTTGAAATCTGAATGAACATATCACTGAAGGTGAAGCCAGGTAACTGGGAATCCCAGCTATAAGAAAAAAAAGTTTGCAATTGGAGCAATGATTAAATTTCAAACTATAATTGAACAATAAACAATACTAAAACACAGAAANAGAGAGAGAGAGAGAGAGAGAGAGAGAGAGAGAGAGAGAGAGATGGTGTTTGGAGCTTTCGTGATGTTTTTTTCTTTTTTTCTTTTTTAATATGAACTGATCTGTTAATAGGAAAAAATAAACGATGAATACTTTGGAATCTATGACCAGCATGTACAAAGCACTGAAAAGGTTTTGATGTTCTTCTGCTATTTTCTTGCTTATTTTTCTATGATGTTTGATCACTGCAGAAGAGAGGTAAAGGAAGTGATGCTAAGCTAAACATAGTTCATTACCCGATGAGCATAAAAAAAAACTTCAATTACTTTGATTCACATGGTGCTTAATGAAAAGCTCAAAGTAAAGCAAAATCTAGGGAACGTTAAGAATAGTACAATGGTGTTTCAACAACTCATGGAATAAAATTTGGAAAATTTAGAAAAAAAAATGGAATTTTTTTTTTTGAATTTTTATTGGAATGGAATGAAATTCAATTTTTCCAAGAAAAATTGCTAAGAAGCTATTCTAGTCCAGCCATCAATCCATCAACCAATTAATTAATCCCAAAATGATTGGATTCCCCATCAAGGTGATAGCAGTGATGAAGGGAGATATTATTTTAAGAAAAAGCATGCAAAATTTCCCTGATATCACAGCATTGATATCTAAAGTATCATTTTTAAATATGTGCAATCTTTTATGTGGCCCATAATGCTTAATGCTGCAATCCAACCACATCATTCTTCACAACAGTCTTTAATTCATCAATAAATATTTTCTCTGTAATATCACATTTCTACTTACAGGACTGTCCCAGTGCTTTTGCGCCGAACTTGAATTCCAAATGGGTGGTTCTGAATTGACACTTCATACAGACGGTTTTCCAGAGTACTTACAGGTGTTTGGGGAAGATTCAGAGGCACTGGAACTTCAAATCTCTTTTTACTATAATCATAAATCTAAGAATAAAAGTGAGTATTAGGTTTAAAACCTGGTCATAAAATATATATCAGAGAACTGCAGGTTCATTTTATAATATTCTCCCACTTAACGATGATAAAAGTTTCTTAACAGATCAAAACATATTACTTATGATCTTCCAACAAATAAAAAAGAGTCTGATCAATATACACAGGCAAGTGGGTTCCTTAAAGAAAATGTGGTCAATAAACTCCAGTTAAAAGGATAAGGAATCAAGGATTAAGAGATTTATATTTCGATATATTTTCAACTTGTCTATGAATTAGAGTCATAAAGCAACTGTGGTGTGGTGAGAGTGGGGCTATGCAAAGTATGTGTGAGTGTGAGTATGTATTTGTGTATATATGTGCTTGTGTGTGTGTGTGTGCGTGCACCAAAAGAATATTATAAAGAAAATTGTATATAGCTGCAGTTGGAGAAATTGCATATCAATGCATTTCTGATGTAACTTGCAAAAAATGTCTACATTGGAAAACTGAAAAGAAAATGGATATTGATATATTTTCACAAGTAAATAAAAATAAAATCACTACTGCAAAAATAGGCTGGAATGAACTTGTGCTGAAAAGTTAAGATGTTATAAAACAGAGAATAGAATGATTAGATGAATATGCTAATAAGAATTAAAAATCTATGCACCAAGACACAGTATATCAATAGTGCTATTTTTCTATATTTTATGTTTCATATTTTGAAACTAGATAGTTTGGCAACTTCTAACCAGATAGCCAGAATCAAACTGTTTACTAATAATGACAAAATTATCAATCTGTTTCCAAAATGACCAACTGTAACATTTTACAAAGGGGTTTACCTTAAATTGAAGCATGTTATTGTCATGATATTTTACTTCCAAATGAAGATTGTCAATGAGGGGGACTTGCTGTCCTGAAAGTCTAACAAAGTCAGTGGTTCTACCAAGATTGGCTGTTAAACCAGATGATGTATATTCAATTTGGTCAACCATGTAACCATTGTCAGAAGGATAGTAGCAGTCTGGAACATCAGCAACAGCAGAAGGCTAGTTTATTAAAAATAAAAAAGGATATATTAGTGAGTGAATAGAATTGGAAAGAGATTAAATCCATAATTTCTGAATTGATTAGAATCAATATTTCAATTAGTTTGCAAGACTTTTCAAAATCAGGTTTCCCATAGCTACTACCTTTATAGAATTGTATAAAAATGATAGGTTTGTTCCATATAACTAGACATATTGTCATTTTACCCAGTTCCATTTTTATATATTCATTTATTTTATTTCCACACTATTTTTCCTTATAAAGGATCTTAGAATGGCTTATTGGAGAAGAGGGTACAGGAGCATCATATTGTAAAAATGAATATAAAAATATGAAATAAATGTTACTGAAAAAGTAAAACAAGAATTAAAAAATCAAACAAAATCATATGATTTCCCACCATAAAAGAAAAGCAAAATAAATAACAGTCTAGGATCTAGCCTGATCCTGAAATGTGATTACAAATTTAAACTCAACTGTAGGACTATCAGCACTGAAATTGGATAGTTGGATAAAATTTCTAGGCCACTGATAATATTTTTATATTTAGAAGCATCCTTTGTCACTGGAATGGCAAAATTTTCATTGCCTATCCCATTGATGAATTGAATCAAGAAGCATTAAATATAATTCCCATGCCACATGAAAAAACATTCAAGATTTCATTATGTCACTGTGTAAGAAATGTTATGAACCGGAATAGCCAAATCAACAAACTAGCCAATGAGATCTGTTTTTGATTAAGACACAGTATTGGCTGTGTGAGGCATGTGATCCAGCTTAGGTCTGGGCGCGTCTTAGTCTTTTGTATGTTGTTTTTTTCTGATCTCCAAGTTAAGAGTTGTTGATTTTTCCCAGAGCTGAATGAAACTGTATGCATCATGTTTATATATATTTTATAGATAAAGTTTTTCTAAACTATGCCTCCTGCTCATTTTCAATGTGTGCTTATTTTGGGGGCTTATTTTTGCGCTGGAAAGCTGTAAAACTCTAACACATTAGAATCACAGTTTAATGTTAAAAGGACCAACAAGTCTTGTTCAATCAGATTAAAATGATTCTGCAGCTGAAATACAGACAGCTGAAAGAATACTTCTTGGAATTGCTATTGAAAACGAACATTGCAAGTTATTTAGAAATAGCTGAATCCAACATAATTATGGACTTTTAAGAACTATTGATTCAAGTAACTGAGAGTTAAATGGGAATTGAATCTGATTGGCATCTCTCTGCAGGAGGAAAGCCTTTGAGGGCATCCAAAATAATGCAAAATGATTTTATACAATGTGTTTTTCTCCCTACAAGTCACAGTATCTTGCTTCTTTTGGAACAGCTTGAGAAATGCAGGGAGTTTCATGAATAATAAACAAATATTGTCCTATTCCATGCATTTTTTGTGAAATCAAAGAGAAATCTGCTGAGAAAGGATACCAGGTAGATATATTTCTGTCTACTTAGCTCTGCAGGAATGCTCAGCTTTAGTTGGTCTGTACCCAAAATG